TGTGATCTCTGTGTGTGTTGTCTCGGTGTGTGTTGTCTCAGTGTGTGTTGTCTCTGTGTGTGTTGTCTTGGTGTGTGTCTCTGTGGGTGTGGCGGGAGGAGCGGGAGAAGCGGGATGAGACATAGAAAAGAAGAACCCCACACTAAGACGTGGGAAAAAAACACAACTCACTTGTGGATTAGAATGAACATCAAGTCGACCCCATGTCTCCAACCTGACTCGCAATCTCCTGATCAGATCACTGTTTCAATGCGATCAAGTGAGGTTTCACGACTTCAAGTGGAACGACATCTTGGTGTGAGCCTCGGAACACTCGTCGACTCGGGACATCCTAGCTGGATCCTCGGCTGAGTCCTGCTACATGGCTCTGAATCAAAGCGTTTGCTTGATGGACCTGTTTGCCTTCTGCTTGTTGGACCTGTGTCACGGAACCCGTTCTTTCGCATGTCGAGCCCGCCCGTGTTCGACGCGTTTCCGTTTCGCATTCGAAGTGGAGTTTCGGATCGTGCACGTCGCCGGTGGCAGGACCCAGCGCACAATTGAGCTGAGCGAAACGTGCCTTGGGAGGATGACATGTGCGGCCCAGGGGGGAATGTTTGTCAAAGCAACTTGCAAGGCAACGCATCTATATGAGGAAAAATCCGAGCAAATTCAGTACAACAGTGATTGTCAGACGAGCACCTCTTCAATCGCATACTCAGACGGATATTATACCGAAGTTGTCATAGACCTACCTGGCAACCAAGAAAGGAGATGAAGATGAGAAGAATCACCAACCAAGCTGAGTCCTCCGGCCGACTCCATTTTCGGGCGTGGCGCCAAAAGCAGACCGAAGGGAGTTTATTCTTGTTTGAGCATGCTTGAGCATCTCATTTGGAGTGAAGAAGCACTTATCACATCTGACTCAGTGTGGGTGCATATGGCTGAAGGTGGGGTTTATGCCAACGGAAGGCCAGTTTTGCTTTGGACTGGTGCCTGGCACCTGAGTTGTCTCGCTTGGATTGTGTTCAGAGTGTTTTACACTTTAAGAAGGCATGTGACAGGAGATGCCATCAACAAGGCTCAACACGGGTTTGTGGTTTGCATATCCCTGGTCCCTGAACTTTGCACCGCAGCGCCGGCCGCAGCGCAAGCGATTTCAATGCAGAATGATCAGTCTCATGTCGCCTGAATTCGTTCCTAAAGTCAGGTCGTGCATTGATCAGGGTTTCCATGAGACGACCAGGATTTGCCATGCCTTGTTTCAGCCAGTCTGGTGAGTCCATTGAGTGTCTTGAGTCAATTGAGTTGATTTCCATGGGTGGTTTTCGCGTGCTGCTATTTGGTCCAGCACGAGAGGCGGGGTGAGTTCGGAGTTGGAAGAGCTCAACACAGCGGGGTTTCGGACACTTTTGGCAGATTTGGTCACAGCATGGGTCATTTCGAAGCCTCCAAAATCAGACCCACCATGGCCGCGACGGATTTGGGCAGCGCACGGCGACGGAGTTTGCGCCACACGAAGTGCCCCGTGCTGATGGAAATACTCCTGAAAGGGCTAGTGGAAATCCATTCAACTGAGCCGCTCATCTAAGCCTCCATGTATGGGTATTGAACGAAAGCTTTGTCAAGGATAAGACTTGAGTAGCGTATAGGCAACTTGTAAAGAACCGGCTGGGACTGCGGTGCTGGGCACCTTGGGTGTGGCGCCTTTCTTTGGAGTTGGGTGCGGTGGGGTGTGGCGTAAGGGCATTGATACGACATTTGCAATTGATCAGAGATTGGAGGCAGTCAAACATACTTAGCAGTCTCTGTCTAGTAAAGTACAAGCATATACAAGCCATGGTTCTTGGGATATACTTGTGGGTGGTTTCGCACAAAGAGTCGTTGGCCGTATTTTGCCAAGCCAGTTGACTTGCATAGACGACACAGCAAGATGTCATTTTTGGAAACAATGTCTGGCATCAGGGAACAGACTGCAATTTTCAAAGACGATCCTGAGGTCGAGATCTGCTAATACGGTATTACTTATGATTTCTGAGTAAAGCAAGGACGAGGAATCGTCCTTGTTTGCCTCTGCCCCTTAGGGCTCTTCCGGGTTCCACAAAAGCGGTACCTTCCATGGGCAGTTGAAGCTGTTGACAGTAGAAGCAGTAAGGCGCAAACAAATCAGAAGAAAACTGCCCAGCTCCAACACTTGCAGAGCTTTTGAGAGGCTAGTTGCTTGAGGCAGACGCAAATTTGCAGATCTTTCATGGGTGCATCCATCTGTCTTTGTATACAGACTGGTCTAGGACGGAAGGATCATCTGAAGATGACATTTAGGCACTGTCATAGGCAGCGAACAAATCATCCGCGAAGGCCTTGGGCAGCGAAGAAGTGGAAGTGGAGGCATGATGAATCAATTCATTGAGCTGCTTGGTATTTCCTTCTTGAACTTCTCGTGCAACAGGCTTTGTTCCTTTGCATGTCGGCGTAGCTTGTGAGAATACATGTTGCCAGGAAGAAAGCCCACTTGCTGAGACACTTGTACTTTAGAGGGTTTCGTCACATAGATTGCTTGGCCTTTTTTGGCTCAAGAACACTTGGCTGAGCTGAGTCTTTGGAGCCTCTTGAGCTGCAAGGCCTCGAAGAGTTGGGTGAGCAGTTTCTGGCACCAAGAGTCGGCTTGGCTGGTGCTTCTCGGCTTATCTTTGTGCTTCTCGGCTTGGCTCTACCTCTGTGGCATGCTGTGGCAATCAGAGCGGGACATGTCCCTGGCGCTTGAGTGAGACCTGGGCCGCCGTTGATCAGACCTGGGCGTCGTCGTTTAGTCACTTCCTCTCCCAGAGAGTTTGTTGTGAGGATCTGAATCCAAGCAGCGGGGCGAACGGGGGCATCTGTGCCTATGGCTATGGCTATGAAAGGACCACCACGGCTTCAGGCTTTGGCCATGAAGAGACCACCACGGCAATGGCAATGGCTATGAAGAGACCATCACTGAACGCACAAGTTGGGTAGGCCGCCAATGGCAGTATCCATCAACTTACTGCATTTTCCCAAATTGCACTGGTCAAATGTATGATTTGTGGAGGAGTCCTACCAGCCCGAATCGTGCTCTTGGACGTGGCAGAAAGCTGCCTTTGGAACGAAAACAGGTGGACGTCCTCTGGCCGTCGTGTTCCAGATCATCAATGTTTGTAGAACCACTTAGAACCACCCCATGTTTTAAAGAGGGTTCCTTGGAATACTATAAACTCTCTCTCTCTCTCTCTCTCTTTCTTCTCTCTTTCTTCAAGATCCCACAAGGCGTGCATCCCGACTTGGACGCCTTTCACGTTTGTGCAAAGGTCCCAGGTCCCACTGCCGGAGGACACCAAAGGATTTGATTCAACTTTTAACGTCAGGGGTCCGCCGCGTTCAAAGGTTGTTTTTTTCTTTCGACCTTGGCTGGATGTAGTTGACATTCCGGAAAAGGACATTGTTCTTCATATTCGTTTTGTACTTCGATTCAAGACTCTTGCCGGAGGTCATTGACGGTTTGGGGTATGACCTTCCAGACATTGATCAACGACGCTGGTTCGTTGTGTTTGTCTTAGATAGCCGCTTTTCCGTGAACTTTCGGAGACATGATTTGACTTGTGCGACGGGTCAAAAGGGCATTGACTTCGTGATGGTTGGGACTACTTTTTGTTCAGACTGTGACACATGTGGCTTTGGGTCAAAACCTGGAGCCCGGAACTCACCTGGTAGGTTGATCTCCCAGTCTATTCTGTTTATCTATGGGACGAACCAGCATCTCCCGGTCGGAAGACCCGCCATGCGGTCAGCCATTTTCTGCAGTTTCAGGTTCCAGATGACTCCAAGGTGTGCCACCTGCGAGAGGCACCTCCACGAAAAGGGATAGGAAGAGCTTCTCTTTCAACCCGCAAACATGACATGCGCGGCCCTGCTTCATCTTCTGCCTTTATGTGCCGGTGGACAGCATCTTTAAGCAATCATTGCTCCATAAAGGTCCCACAGCGCACAAACTCTTTGCTGCTCCTGAAGTATCGATCGCACCCTTTGAGTAGGCCCACTGCATCAATACGCAAGCTGTTGAATCCAGGAGTTCGTGACACGCAAGAGAGTTTGCAGGTGCCATATCTTGCAAAACATGGGAATGTTCGTTGGGCAACATTTTCCGCGTGAAAATCCTTCAGGCGATGCTGAAGCAGTGTCCGACACTAAAGAGTCTCCTGGAGATGAGCAAGTTTTCAGTTGACCAGGAGCGAATCGACGGCCACATCTTCAACAAAAAGGGAGAATCCAGTAAGTCAGTTCCTGAAAGCCTGTGTTGAAAGAATCTTTGTTTCTTCCTTCCCTTCTTGAGCCAAACATGAAACTTGAGCGTTGAGAGTTCCTTGTAGCTTGTAGCTTTGAAAGCGGAAAACAAAAGATCAACTTTGGTTGAAGCTTCAAACCGGCAGTGCACACCGCGAAGCTGCGCGGGTCCGGGCATTCCGGGCATTTGAACTACGGACCATTCCGCGCCTGTGTCAGGAGATGATCAACAATGAGGCTGACACTGCCAGTGCTTCAGGTCGCTTCTTGTGGCATCTCCGGTTTGCTTCACACCTCGGACGTCACCGAGGCCCTGAGCGACCGCTCGGAGATCGCGCTGATCCCGCCCATCAGCGGCGGGTGAACACGCCCATCGCGCCAGCCGAGCGCCAGCCCGCTGAGAGAGAACGAGATCGGAGCGGGAAAGGGTGACCGGAGGGGTCCTGGGTGGTTTTCGGTGACCGGAGCGGAGTCCAAGAGGATATTTGATAGCCCTTGCTACTTGAGATTGACATTACGAGCCTTGAGATTGACAGCTGTCATATGGGTGTGCTCTCTTCCCGTCTCAAGTAGCTGATCCTTCAAGATCCACAAGGCCTAATCTGATGGTCAGATATTGTCATTATCAGTCAGTCAGTCTCTTCCCTTTTGTCGAGCACCTCACATTTTCCGCAAGAAGCAGACAGCAAGCAGCCGACCGAACAAGCATACACACAATACACACCGAGCAAAGTCAACTCAGCCAGAGAAACATGGCTGGCCGGTGCTCCTGGCAAAGTTGAAGGTGTGAAAGGTGTGAAAAGAGATGTAAGCAAAGAGATGGGCAGTTCAGATGATTGTCGGCATTGTCATGTGTTCAGTGACACTGGACTTCGGGACATTGGGAGAGTTGAAGATTCAAGTTTCCTTGACACAGACCAACAAGACATTATATACATAACTAAATTCATTAAATTTAAGAACACGCCTCAAGAAAAGAAACACATCAATCCTGGCAGCAGGTTTTTCTCATCGAAACAACAACCGTTTTCCAGGTTTTTGATTTTGTCGCCAGGTCTTCTTCGGGCGCCGGGGAGGCGCTTGTGCTTTTGGAAGCACCCAATACCTGCGGAAACAGGGTGCGATGTTGTTGTGTTTTTTATACGGCGCGGCCAGGTCGACTTGGCCTCGAGGTCTGAAACTCGGATGGTGAAATGCCGCTACTGCGGCTACTGAGGATAGAATTTCAACTGCTTGGAGTCATCTGAAACCACAACTCCCAGCATGTCTGGTTTTGTGTGACACGTGGTTTGCGATTCGCCATAGAACAATGCAGTCAGAGATTGAGCATGATTGAGCAATGAATTGGGCTTGAATACTCCCTTTTTCGATCTTTGTTGTGGCAACTTTAGCTTGATACTTGATGAGAAGGTAGCAGGCATGGCATGGCACGTTTCTGTTTTGTTTGTCACCATTGGAACTCAAGATCAAAGGAACTTCCGGCCTCACACGGTCAGAGCTGGCTTGCGAACTATATCAACGCCCCCAAAGTGTGACATCGGATCCCGCAGTTGTTCATGGTTATTTTCTGCAAATTGGGCTCCGCCCCGCATGTTTGGGTGGTTTCTGGCCAAACACGACCCATTCTGGATGATTCTTGGGACCCCTCATTTTGAGCAACAAGTTCAATCCCTGCTCAGGCTTTACAGGCAAGGCGCCGAACAGGCGGGACTTCCACGCTTGGCCTAGAGCCCCAGTTGGGCCAATGGCCTGAGTTTCGCTTTGCGCAGTTTGTTTTGGGGAAAGACGCAGGTCTTGAGCTTTTGAAGGGATGGAAGGTTTACATTACTAATATTTAATATCATATTTATTGATTGAGTTTCCCTCTCTGCTCTAGAACTTGTGTGGTTGAGACATGGATTTCGTGGTGGAGATGGATGCAAACCCAAGGTCTCCACCAGCCGACAACCTCAGATTGGCGGCAGCATCGAAAGTCAGGGGGGAGGCAGGCTTCTTCAAGTTCCTGATTCAGTGCGCGAGAAAGGAATGCCGTACGTTTTGCCTTGGCTTCCCCAGGATTGTTTTCACCTGAGAATCGCTTGGGGACAGCTGGGTGTCAGGATCGTCCTCTTTCATTACTTTCATTCTGCAAGAGCGAACGGGATCTTCCGTATGTCGCTGGACCGGAGTAAGTTTAAGACTGGCTGGTCAGGGTCTACAGCGCTACAGGGAGGTTCTGGATGAGGTTCCACGGAGAAGTTCCCAATAGGGGCAGCGTCAGTTGTAGATGTTTGACATGGGAAGTTTGAGGCCAAAACTGCCGTGTTTCGAAGATGTTCGAATCCTGGTCTATATCATATCTATCTATACACATATCACATATCTTCTCTGGTTCACTTGCATGACTTAAAAGACAAAGGGGACAGGACAGCAGGACCTGCAACCGCCCGGATCACCGGCACTTCGGCCGCACCGGGCCAGGTGCTTCCACCCGGTCGGTGCGCCGGGGCCCGCGGGGCGGGAGCGAGGTGCTGGTGCCTCACACGCAGGGCGACCCGGGGGCGGGTGGCTTCACAGCATGGTGCCACCCGAAAAAGCATCTCAAAGCGGGACCAACACCAGGAAGGCGAGGCTCCGTTCGGAGCAAAGGGGGGCATCGCTACGAAGGGAGCGATCGGATGCGACGAACGGGGCTCCTGGCCTTACTACTAGGAGCAAAGGACGCTACGAACGGAAGAAAACGCTTCATCACGGCATGGTGAAACCGATCGCGGCGGATGGGGTTTCGATGGTTGGGAGAAGAAGCTCGCATGCGCCAAGGAACTACAGGCCAATTACACTTCCGTCCTTGGAGGTGCAAAAGACAGCATTTTTTAAAAAATCATTTTTTGACCGGGCGCTTGGGATAAGACGGCACCCAAACAGTATCGTGAGTGGATGGACCATCTGGGAGCGAAGGAATACTTGCTGTTTTAAACAGCAGGTCGAGTCATGTCGTCGATGTTCTTTCCGGTGCTCCTCTTGGATGAAGCGGAGAACAGCTACGAACATCCCACTGTCCATTCAAAGACAGGCTGATCATTCCAAGCGAAATGTCCGATGCCCTCGCGACAGCCATTGAGACAGGCTGTGCCCTCGGCGCCGCAATTGGGGAAGTCCCGACAGATCATTGGCCTTTTGGATGGAGGGGTGGGATATCAGGCCGTGCTGACACAGGGCTGTGAACCAAACGATGGTTATCCTGTAGATGTTCCAATGTTCCAAGCCTGCATGAACAGGTCGTTCTTTGACGATCAAAGGATCCTAGATCCTTGCTTGTTCGAAAACAAACTAATGCAAGCCTTATGGTTGAATATCTGTGGCATGTGAGGATCGAAAAAGATATTGGAGGGTTGACCAACACTCGATGCTTGTTGCAAGATTTGTTTCGTGGTCCCATCACTGCACCCAACCCAACCCCAAGAGATCCTCACTGTGAGGAAGATCGGTTTGTTGACAATACTACCCTGAAGCTGGAAACATAGTGGGGAAATGCCAAGGTTTGGAATGTAGACACTTGCTCTTTGCATCCTCCAACGTTTGCATTGAGCCAGTTTGTCCCGCCAAATGGGTTCCCAACACGAGACCAACCCTGAGGAGACAAGGGTGGCGCACTCTTCCTCCCCTGCGGACCACATGGATCCCCCCAAACCACTGGTGTAGAGGAAACTCGTCGAAACCGGTCGATTCTCCGGGTCCATGTGGTGTTCGGCGGGAATTCCATGCACCAACGAACACGTCCAAAGCAACGCCACGAACACGTCCATCCTCAAGTCATGTCGCATGCGAGCCATTGCGAGCCTGGCTCGAAGCATAAGGCACACGCCATGCTAGCGTGCCAGCGTCCTATGCGGGGAAGCCAAGTCCAAATGGAAGATCATTGAGATGAGAGTACGCCCCCCGAAGCGAATGAAGCGAATGAAGCGTCGATGAATGGAACTGAGGTGGGACCACAGAACATCCCAGGCCTTGCCACTGTAAACAAATGTCATCTTAGACCTATTGCTCAACTCTTTGTTTTTCTGCTGTTGCATGGTGTCAATGTTCATGCTACTTTTGTGTGGCAGGCGCCAAGTCCGGACCACAGGCACAGAGCGAATGTGATTGCCACGCAAGAGAGCCTGCGTATGCTTCCAATGCACAGATGGTTTGCAAGGGGAAGCTTTGGCTTCACTGAAGGGGGCAAGAATCTGTGAGTGATGTAGCCACACACACACACAACCACACCTCTTCTGCCAGGCAGACTCAGTTCAGGAGGCAGCTGCCGTTCAGGAGGCGGAAGAAATGGCTTCTGTGAGCGAGCTGGGTGTTGGTGGAGTTTGGGAACTTTGGTGTTGTTGGCTGCAAGCTCCAGCAGAAGGTGGTCCTATCCCCAAGCTGGTTCAGGGGGTTCAAAAGATGTCCCAAAAACGCAGCACCATCACAATATGCCAGCACCACGGGGCCTCAGATTTCCCAACTCAACCTGCAGCCTGACTCACGCTTGAGTTCAATTGCATCATACTCTTTAAGCTTAGATAGATTGCGAAGAATCAGTGGGTTTGGGTTTGTTTTTGCTCTCCTTCATTTCGGTGTGTCATCCTTTCTGACTTTGGCAAACCGACGGGCCATTTTTCGTCGAATGATGGCGAGGACGGCGAGGAGAAACCAAACTCTGAACCAAACTAAGACCAAACTCAAACACTCTACACCAAACTAAAACAAACTAAAACTAAACTAAATCATATAGAACCAAACTAAAACAATCTGAACCAAACTAAAACCAAGCATTGGTTGGAGGGCCCCCTCTTCCGATTCCCTGCTTGGACTGATCCTCAGGGGGCTGCTGGCGGCACCGAAGTCTTGCAGCTCTGGCAAGATTGAACATTCGACGTTGGCACCAGTTTGAACGCAGTTCATCCATGTTGTACTGTACAGTATTTGCAGTTCATCTCCATGAATCTCATGAAAGAACACTGTTGGAACCACACTTTTTTTGGATCCACACATCCCTTCGACCCCTCCGCTGCCGATCACCGCTTTCCCGGAGGAAGGTGGATCCGTCCGACCCCTCGTGGATCAGCCCTGCGGACTTCGTCGAGTCCCCCGGCGGCACCGAAGCGGCGGCGCCGCGCGGTGGCGACACGGCGCGCGGCGTGTCGCGCGTGGCGTTGGAGCGAGGTTCATTTTGAACCACGAGAGCCTCACGGAGGAGTTCTGCTACATGAACCGCTCCGGCCCCTATGAGTGAGCTTGGCTCGAAAAGGGGCGACGTGTTTGGGCTCGTTGGTGTCCTGTAAAAAATGTAATCTGTGACACATTGAGTTTCATCATGAAACGGCGAAGGTGAGGACCTCTTTCACGTTGTGGATTATCTCTGTCATGGCCAACGGGGGCCTGCAAACGTGGGTCATTCCCTTGTCAGATGGAAAAAAGAGGCCGATGTGGACATTGGTGTTGCATCGAAGGTTTGAGATTGTCCCGTTCTCGAAGATCAATCCGAACGACTACATGACCATCTCCATCCGTGGTGTGACTCACTACTCCAATGGGGAGCTAGACTACCAGGACAGGTGCGGGTGTTGAACAACCGGTTTGAACAGGTCTCTTGGTTATGGTGTTGTGGTAGATACGATGATCAAATGAGATCCCACAGGCTGTCGGGCGGATCTGGAGATCTAAACTGGAGCCTTTCCCGGTCTCGAGCCCTTTGTAGTGATGGATGTACCGCCCACGATTTGGTCCTGGAACCTTGCAAAGGGGGAAAACACGCCCCACCACAAGGGAGTTGTGGAAAAAGCCCACAAGAAACACATGAGCACTCACAGCCTGCACCCCGTACGAGTTCCGTTTATGCCTACCCAGTCAATGGATCATCTTTATTTAATCCATTTTTTGGGGATTGGTTTCAAGTCCCACAGGTGGAAGGAGGGTTTCTCTGATTTTCCAGGCAAACTGAGGGGGTTCCGTCGGATGAGGCCAATTTCCCGGTACAAAAACACGATCGATTGGCTCTGTCGGTCGCACACGAGCAGATCCGCCGGTCGCCACGTGAACATGGGTCCCCTACGGTCCCACCGATTCACTCGTTCGATGACTCTGGCACCAAGAAGGGCTGTCCAAGGGCTGTCGCAATTGAGAATGCAGAAAAACACCATTCAAGCAGATTCTTGTTAGATCTCCTACTCGAATCCGGGCGTCTGCTGGCGTCTGCTCCGGGCGATTCACTTCCCGTAGTCGGCTCCGACGGCCAACGAACCAGGACTTGGCTGATTGGCAGCGAGATCAGGACATGTACAGGAGACACTGGGAGAGATCTCGCCGAAAATGGGTCATTAGTCTTGTCACACCCAAGATACCTGCAACCACATGGGTTGCGTAATGAAAGTCTGCAGAAGAGCTTGTTCAGTGACATTCCTTTGAGGTTCACAAGAGGTTGGGCTGGCTGAAAGTCACAGAGTTTTAGACTTATCAGCTGCACTCCTGCAGGAAAATCATAGAGATTCCCTTCTTCAAGAAGTACCAGCAGTTTGCTCAGAATCTTGAGACTCGAAACCGATGGGAAGTCAGCCCTCAAAGACAAGCTGGACAAGCCCATTTGCGGGGCTGCCGATGGTTTAAGGAAGAGACAAGGACGGTTTAAGTCCTGATACATCAGCCCTGGCTGCATGGTGTCAAACCCTCAGACGACCATCACAAGCTAAGTCGACCTCTGTATAAAGAGGAACCATTTTCCCTTGTGTATGACCATATTCCCCTGAAACCGAACTCTGGTGAACTTGGCAGGACCAGAAAGTGGTTTGCAACGAACATGGACGGCGGGTCAGTACTGTTTGCCCCTAGGGGCTAGGCCTGACACCCAAAGGTTTCTGTCCCAGCGGATCAGACACTCAAGATGTTCCTTTCAAAAAGCATTCAAAACCAGGTTTTCTGAGCTTTTTTTGGGTGCTTGGCCTGTACACCCTGGCGGCCATGGTGCTGGATTTGACCATTTTCAGGCGCTGGAAGCTCTTCTCAGTCTGGAAGAGTGCCATGCGCTACTTGGCAGCAACCATTCTCTGGTGCGGGTCAGTCTGCCATTCTGTGGGACGCCAGGAGCCCCCCCCAGAAAAGACACATCTATGTATGAATAAACAGATTGGGTTTCATCATTTTACCCTGGGAGGCAAGAAGTTTCTGGCCATTTTGATCTACTTTCAGTCATTTGGGTCCCAAATTGACAGATGGGCAAAGAGGCACCATTGACATTTGCAAGGAGTGGATTGAGTGAACTGAGCGAGATTTTCTTGGTTGAATGGAGACCCCTCTCACCACTCCTGTGCTGACTCATCATCAGAACTCTTTTGGCAGCTTTAGCAAAAAGAGGGCAAGGAAAGCGTTTGAGCAGGGATTCCTTTGGGATAGTGCATCAAGCATATGATGCCGCCAATTGTCTCGCCAATCGCCAAAGTGATACCCGGAATTGGTTTCAGCACAGTCTGCAGGAAATCCATGGTTCTGGGGTACATCAGATGCCAAGTGGTCGGATGATGTTCGTCTCAGATATTGGTCCTGCTCTTCTGCCCCTATGTGGACAAATATTGATTTTCGAGCGCTTCTGTGCTGCCATTGATCTCATGTCAGCGTGGTGTGCTTCCAAAGGTGGCTGGTGCAGGAGGTTTCTTGGTACATGCCTACCTCTTGCAGCATGCGGGTGCTCGACAGCGTGGATGTCTTCTCGTGTTCTGAACCAGCTGTCCCAGCTGTCAACCACCCACCAGACTTCCCGGGAGCCTCAAACAAAGTATCGAGTTGGACACTTTCGCCTTTCTCGTCTTTAAACACGCATCTTTGGCATGCCCGAGCGGCCAAGGCAATCAGCGTGTGCAAAAATGCTCTAGGTGTGGTTGCTGTTCATCGGGTGTTGGGGCTCCAGACGATCGATCGATCGATCGATCGTTCTTCGCAGTTGGGGATCCAGCAGGCAGAGACTCCTGTGATTTCAGCTGGACTCCTTGATTTTGCATTCAAATGTATGCAAGTGTTGCAAACTGGCAAGAGTCGTGCTGGGCTGCTAGTCGTCCGAACTGCTAGGGCACTTTTGGGAACGACTTGGGAACTGACTATTGAAGGCTGGTTCTTTGGGCCATCTACGGATTGGCATGCACTCTTCCATCCCGATGAATTCTGGCTGTGTATCAAAAGCACCCTTTTTGGAGGTGCACTCATGCATCTTGGAGGCCCCTACAGATTTTTTTTTTCTTCGTTGAGAAGTGGTCCAAAACAAGCTGCTAAATTATTTCCAACAGGTTCCACACAATTGGTCAGAACAAGGCAAAAAGCTTGGGACTTTCATTTCCTCTCATTCATGGGTCAGACTTGGAAACCCCAAAAACCTCCCAAAGCATCCACAACAACACCCTCGCACCGACCCCGGAAAACACATCAGAAACCCAGCTCAACGGTGCAATCCACCCCCAAAAAACCCAGGCCCTTCTTCTTTTTCAACGGCGCCCTTGAACACCCCCAAGAAGAAGGGGCCCAAGAACGACCCGTGATGTTCGTAACGGGGGACGAGGACGCCGCATTCCGCTTACCTCGACGGGCCAGGACGCTGAATGCACACCTCTTTGCCTTGGACACCACGCTCTGCGAGTCGCTGTTGCGATGCCGCTGCCTCAAAAGGGACATGCTCAGTAGCAAACAGGTGGGTAAACCGAAAGACCAATGGCTTGATCCATCTCGGCAAAAAGGCATGGATCTTCAGGTCTTATGACTTATGGGCATGTTTTTTGGGTATCTAACTATATGCGTCTATATGGCATGTTCACCGCCCACTTCCGGGGATGGGTTGTGTAACCGTGTTCGCCGGTCGTCCACCAGCGGCCACAAAACCGTCCACCGTCGGTGGGTCCACGTGCGAGACCGGTGCCATGACCCCGGAATCGTTGGTCCAAAAGAGCACAGAAGTGTTTGATACTCAAAGGCGAATTGAACAGACTTGCACACTTGGCTGGGTCAGTGCCACCAAGATCCATGAGAGTATTTCTTGTCGCATGTTCAAGCGAGTGCCCACAAGTACCCAGACGTGACCACAGGGCTCCAAAACTGGGTCGCCCAGGGTTCGGTCAGACCAAGGTCGCAAGGAGTGTGTGAAGATCAGTAGCTGGAATTTGCTGGAGGCGGGACTTTTGGCCGGAATGGAGTTTGCCCGTCCTCCAGTCTCCTTTGCTCAACGATTGAAAGTCGGTCGCCTCTCAGCAGTGAAGCAGCTCGTAGGTGAACCCGATGACTGTCTACCAGGTTGAGGAGCATTCTTTTCGGACTCGGCACGCGTGTCGGCGGGTACCAGGGTGTTTGATGAACGACTTCCCCCCAACTGCCCTGGGCAATTCTAGAAGACCGCGCATTCCACCCGTGATCTTTGATGAGTTCACAAGATGAAGGTGGTGGGGTGGCTCCTGCAGAGCCAGTGTGACAGGGACATTGCAAGAACATGTCAAGCCCTTTTCCCTCCTTCACCCTCCTTCACCCTCCTTTTCGACTCAGGGACATTTGGGTCGGGCCGTGGGCACCGCTCCACCGAGCCTTTACCGCTCCGCCGAGCCTTTACCGCTCGCTCCTGCGGGCGCGGTGAAGCGCAGGAGTTCGAAGATCAACAACGACAGAAGAGGAAGCAAATGGCCAGCGACCTCCAAGAGGCGCGACCGAAAGAAGCCCGGTGTGAACAGGTGAGACAGGCGTGAACAGGTGGGACAGGTGTTCAGTTGAAGTCTTACGAAGCTGGGTCAAGACCTTAGTGGTATGTTGTGGTTTCTTTAACATGCAGAAGTGACAGAAGCTTAGAAGATGATATCAAATTTGTAGTCGAGGCGGTGATTTTCTGAGTGGAGGCACCTTTCGCTATTGGTTGGACTTGAAGAGCATAGATCAATGAATTATCGATCAAATCATGATCTCTCACGCAAGACATTCAGCCGAGCATGCGCCGTTTGATCGGTTTCCTACTGTACTTCTTCTTGGGGTTGAAACCTCAAGCAACACCCTTCAAGCCGGAGTTGCGTTCGTGTCCACAGCCTGTGGACATCGGACATGGACATGACGACACATGATGTAAGCTACGACACCAGTAACAAGACGCTGCTAGCTACTATGGGCGCTCCTGGCATTACTACTACTACCAAAAAGCTACTGGTAACAAGGTGCATCGCCACTAGTTAGGAACCAAGAAGCTACGAACGGAAGAAAAGGCACCGAAGAACTTCGCAACTTCGATGTTCCCAGGTCCAGGCATGGAAACGGCATGGAAACGGCGGCCGGACGGCACGGCGTTTACTGGCGAGCTTCTGTCGCTGGTCAGCGCAGCGTATCGGCGCAGGTCTGGACACGAATCAAAGATGAGCTTCTTCAGCGGGAGGACCCAGGTAGCAGGTCTGGGCCGGTCTGGGCGAAGATCTTCTCACTTTGACACCAAGCCGTTTGGATGAGAGACCATGGTTTCAGAAATCCCTGCGATATGAGATAGACATACGTCAACAGTATGATTGGACGCAGTGATATATACTGTATATGTATGTATAATATATATATATATATGCTATAATATATAATGTGATTTATCAGTGTCTTGTGCTTCCACCACGAGGTGCTGCAGGAGTTCTTCCATGAGGATCATGACAATACTGACACAGATTTTCCACGCAGCAATGACACTCGACACGTTCATGGCGCGAAACGTTTGATGAGATGTGAAACGCAGATGATCTCTGGAGAAGTTCCTTCAGATGATCAATTTCCAACCTGGGAAGGAGGGGGACATCTAGGTATCTAGGTATGACCAGCATCCACATTGAAGCAGCCCGGAGATTCTCTCAGATGGAACCAAAGGGCTGTTGTGATGAAGTGGTTTCTGGCAGATTTCTGTCAGGTTTCCCGTCTCCTGGAATTTTGAGGTAGGGGCAGGGGCATTCTCTCCAAGACTTTGATCATCGTTAAATGGTTCTTCCCGAGGTCATGCACAAATAGCCTTCAAGACTTCTTGAAGAAGAACGGCTTCGGGCAAAGGGGTGCAAACGAAGAGGAAAAAGAGGCCAGAGACACAGGGGCTGCTTTTGAAAGGTCCCCTTCGTTTTCTGGATGAAGATGCTTCATTGCGTTTAAATTCTCAAGGCACATTTTTCCCTGTTTACGTGTTTGCGACATGGACAGCTGCTGCGCTATTGTGCTCTGGCAGGAAGGTGATGAAGGTGATCAGGACAGCCGTGGCCAGTGTGTTTAATGACTCACGAACAAAATCAAAGGAGAGTTGTACAGCATTACTGTAACCGTACAGCTTTGTTTTTCCCAGAACCTTTGTGTCATCTCAACATCGAGTATGGAAATACTGAGCTTTTGATTGATGACATTGACTTGAAATATCGAGAACCAGCCGTTGCTGGTGGTCAGATTTGTTTTTGCCCATTCTCCGACCCAACTATCAAACACACCCGATTTCCGTAGGATGGCGGGATGTCCTACACCGAGCGGGCCACCACACGAACGCAGTGCCGAAAACTCACCAAGTGACGCTGTCGCGGTTGGGAAAGGATGGTGGAACTCCTGGTTTGCAAACTTTCCTACCAGATTGTTTTTACATCTCCATATGGGAGGTTCTATTCATCAACAGTCAACATTAGGACAATCTGACTGATGATATCTGATGATGGTGTTCGGAACCGATTTGGTGGTTTCTTGGAGGAGTACGCAGCAGTATTTTTCGCATAATGCTACCGTAGCATAACCTTGGTGGAGTTGGATCAAAGCGGTAAGGGCATCACTTCATTAAGGTCCACTCTGAAACTGACACTTCAAGCTGAACCATGCTTGCCAGGTTCATCCGAATGGTGCAGTTCTTGTTCAACGATGCTGTCGCCGGGAGCTTCAGTGTGTTCTGACGGGCCCTGGGCCCTTTGAGGTGGGCGTGTGATGTAGGGAGACGTTCCCAATCGATGGTTTTGGTCTATTTGCCTTCTTCCAGGGGGGGTCTTTTGCTGGTCTCCCTTCTCGCACCTTTTTTCTCGTCGTCTTGCTGGGCGATCTTGATTTCAACCTGACTTCGTGACCAACTTCCACTTCAACAAGTAATGGTTGGTCACCAGTTGGTGAAGCACTGAGGCTCTTCCGAAGTTGCACGAAGCACTGAGGCTCAAATGGTGGTGAGCACGACCACCAGCAAATTCTTGGAGACGCTGGAGGTGTGGGGCGGCGAAGCGAACACGGGAGCCCGCGGCGCCCAAGCACGTTTGAGGGTCATGACATCCTTTGTTTGAGGGTCATGCGACTTTCTATATGTTGTTTTTGTCTACAAAGTTTACACAGAAGTTTTTGTTCTTGCATGAAACATGGCATAGCTCAATGTGTCTTTGCTGCACTGAATATCATGTTGAATTGTAACAGTACAATCCTGTCAATAAAGACCGATCATCATAACGAAAGCACCAACAAGCACTGGAAAGATGCCCTTGTCCGTCGCCAGAACTTTGTGGAAGATGTCCAAACACAAGAGGCTGCAGCTGGGTGCCCAGGACCTTGGAAGCCTTCGAAGCCTTGGTGCCTCCTGAGCTTTTGATCCTTTTTCGAGCTGCCAAACACGAGCAGGTTTCAAACAAGGTCGACGAGGTCGACGTCGCCCCGTGCGTCTCATGTCTCATGTCTCATCTTTCGTCTTCGCTCGGTGGGCACCGGATGCTCCGCCCAGGCCCAACCGTTGGCGTTGGAGAATGACGTCGAGAAGCCGTCAGAGGCGGTGCCGTGGGACGCATCTCATGTGAACCGTCCTCGGGTGAGATGGTTTCGAGCAGTGAGATTGGTTTCGAGGCTTAGCAGGATGTCTTTCATCAGACCCACCTTCTGGGGTAAAAAGACGTAGTCAGCTAGGACTCCGGAACCAATGTCTGGAATCAAACGGGATGATCTGCTGCTAACTTCAAAAGTTGGATCGGAAGGCAACGTTACGACTGGCAGGACGGTTCTGTATGGTTTTGTGGCCGACGAAGCATTGGTGCTGTGCTTTCAGCAAATGTGCACGGAAAACTTGTCAATTGTATGTGGCGGATTGTCATGTACACCAAAAAGGCAAACCAATGCCAATGGTCGAAACGCACGGACGGATGCACCCCCAGTGCATTGCAAGTCTTTGCAAGGAGAAGAAAGAAGAGTCCAAGAGCACCAGGACCTTGGTGTTTTGTGCGCTTAATTACTGTATAGCTTTATTTATCCATCCAAGGTCTGCTCCAATGCCGCAGTATGTGACTCCCAAACTGCGTTGGTCGATTTGGAGTGGTAGCACATGCGTCCGGTCCGGTGTCCGATCGACGCGTCTGGTCCGGTGTCCGATCGGTGGTCTTCAGCTGTTCAGGAAGCCCAACTTCAACGTGGAGTGTTTGCTCCAGAGGGGAGCACTGATCTTCAAACCCACTGGGAGGAAGATCTGGGAGGCTTTAGAGTCGGAGAGCCCAGTGATGGGCCACCCAACTACCATGCCCATCCTGTCCCATTTCGCAGGATCTCCAGGCAAGCTATGCACAAGCTTCAATGTCCCTCTTCACTTGTTGAAGAGTTTGTGCTGGCATGGACACTGTTTCTGTGGTCAGGTACTTATTGTCCTGTAGGTCACTGTAGGTTCTAACTTCATCTAACTTCTAACGGTATCTGCGGGCATTCAACAAACAGCTCAACAGACCCCTCAGACCAACACACCGTTAGACCGACCAAAACGGGTGACCCGATTTCCTCCTCCTCTGACTTTCCACCCTAACACCCTGGGTCGAGGTCGCATAACACCCGACCTCACGCCAAGCGGTGAGGTCGTCCTTGCGAGATGCCCTGCGAGCTGTCTCGGGATGTCCTGCTTTCCTGCAGGTCGGGGCGCCGATTCCGAGTCGGGATTGACTGGCGGTGAGAAGACGAGTCGGCGGAGTCGAAGAACGAACGGACGGATTTGGGGGATAGACTGTATATATGACATATGGTTCCCCCCGGCTCTCTCTCTCTCTCTATATATACATATGTAAGATAACCATATAACTATACCATTATATACATATCAAACTAAGCTAGAGTTGATCAGTTGATAGTGGAGCAGCCTTTTCCTTGGCCTTAAATGCCTGCGATTCAATCGACTATGCCACCTATCCTGCTACGGATCTAGTCAGACCTTCTTTCCCTTTCAGAGAACGCAAGGCTTTGTATGCCTCGACGAGACAACACATCCTTTGGCATTTTTGTTCCTTAAATCCTCTGCAGTTCTTCATAATTCTGGGGCACAGGGATCTATATATGAGCCACTCGAACCACAATAGGGACTGCCATTTGGTCGCCTACAGTGGACTTTCCATCGATTCGGTTTGCTGTTTGTGCCAGCTCGCCAAGAGATGAGAATGTATTCTCAAAGCAAGTGTATTGGCACAGAATACCCTCGTGTCAAGACGAGTTAAGTTTTCATCTATTCTGAGCTCCTCAAATCCGAGCACAAGACGAACAATCGCTCCTTTCAGGTCCCACATATTTTCAGGAACAGGAACTCGCCTGCCATCCTATGGTGCTTCCAGCTTTACACGGCCCGCTGGCTGGTTGGTCTCAACCTCTCCCTAGACATCAGCACGAGCCTCTGAAAGTAGCAAGAAGGGCAGAGGAACGGCTGCTGATCTTGGGTGGAGGTGTCATTGGTGTCTCGGTGGCCTACCACTTGGCCCAGCGTGGCAAACGGGTGACGTTAGTGGATCATGCTGGCTTAGCCAGCTGTGCTAGTGGCAAAGCAGGGGGCTTCTTGGCAAAGACTTGGAACGACAGGACACCCCTGAAGCAGCTGTCGCAGAAGAGCTTCGACATGCATGCGGATCTTGCGGTGAAGTTGAAGCTGAAGTCATATCGGCGCTTGCGTTGCAAGTCAGTCACAGTGCAGGGTGTGAAGCCACCTGTCAGGAAGCTGGAGCACTTGGAATGGGTTGAAGATGCAGTTGATGAGCGACACATGGGTGACGAAGCAACCATCGCACAAGTCCATCCGAGGGAGTTGACAGAGGCCATGTGGAAGGTTTGTGAGGAAGTTGGTTCGAACTTTGTTTTGGGCACGGTGAATGAGTTGATCACGGAAACTGCAGGGTCTGAACAGAAAGTGCTTGGTGCCTTTGTTAACAGTCAGCCCATGCAGGCCGACAAAGTGGTATGCTGCATGGGCCCTTGGTCCCAAATTCTTGGAATGATTTTGCCTCGCATGAAGATCTACGGCCAGAAGTGCCACAGTGTTTTGCTGCAGGGTGAACGTGTGCTGTCCGAGGCGGTCTTCTTCAAAGGTCTTGGAAATCCAGAGGTCTATCCCCGCAACGACGGCGAGAACTACGTGACGGGCTTCCCTGATCCCGTGACGCTCGTCACCGAGCCACCCGGCAACGTCCAAGTCCGTCGAGAGGTCTGTAAGCGCCTGGTCGCCAGTGTTCGTGAGGTCTCACCTGAGATGCAAAGAGCTCAGGTGACAGGGGAACAGTCTTGCTATTTGCCATTAACCGCTGATACATTTCCGGCCATTGGTCCACTTCCACAATACAAGGGTGGTTATCTTTCCGTGGGCCATGGGTGTTGGGGGATTCTGAATAGTTTAGCCAGTGGCTTGGCGATGACTGAGCTCATCTTGGATGGTAAGGCAACATCTGTGGACATTGAATGCTTTGATCCAGAAAGACTCTTGAGTGTGGATGACCCTGAGTGGGCTCCTGGCTGAACCTTTCCTCACTTTGGATGGCGAAGTCTGCAGTTTCTGCAGTTGGCTCACAGTCACTTGCTGTTGTCGCCTGCAGCGACGTCAGCAGAGTTCCATTTTCCTGAAATAGTGCAGATTCTAGACTTGGTCGTGATGTCGCAACCTTTCTCGACTCGTGTCGAATGCATCGCACAGTTGTTGATGGCCCAAAGTGGCATCGACCAAGGAGGAAGCGGTTCGAGTGTGGGTTTTGAGTGTGCGAGGGTACATGATTTTTGCGCTTCTTACCAAGTTACTAGTACCGAGGTGTGAAGCACAACCCTGTGCATCTCTGTTTGGAAAGTTCTGTCTGTTTTTCGATCTATGTAATCATGATAGTTATGATTATCAATCTAAGTCTAAAGCATTGCGAAACGATTTCAAGCTTCCAACCGGTCCACAACCCCAACTCCAGTGAATTCAAGCGAAGCAATGCGATGCACAGGGAGCCCAAATAACACACCCCCTGCAGAGGGGGACAGGCCCAACCCATGAAAGACGGGCCAAGACCAACTGCTACTAGTAGCTTCTTGCTCCTAGTAGTAAGGCCAGGAGCCCCTAGTAGCGTCCTTGCTCCTAGTAGCGATGCCCTTTGCTACTAGTAGCTTCTTGGAGCTGGAGCTTCGCTCATGGTCCAGGTCGAGGACTTCAATGCCTTCACAGCCCCGTTGGCCGAACTGGGCGATGCCCTACCACTGGAGGAGAGGGGATGCTTTCTTTTTCTTCCTTGTCTTCCCTTCTGCAACTCCAAACAAGATCGAATGGTTTTTAACATTTTTACAAACCAGTTTCCATGTCCAGACTCGCAGAACCAACATAATTTTTGTATAAATATATAAGTAGATATATATATATATATCATGATATATCCTATAGGCTAGTGGTGGTTCTGAACGGTGGATGCTCCACCCAGGAGCAGCAGCACGATTTGTTCAGCCTCGTCGCGCAAGATCCGAAGCACAAGGCGACGACGTTTTGGTCCGTGTGATTGGTGGAGACGGTGGAGAGTGAAAAAACCGAGAAGTGTTCAGCCGCCGATTGATTGTGTGTGTTTCGTTTTTTTGTTATTTTTTTAATCAAGCTTTTATAAAGTCTGGTGTTGAAAGATTCTTGAAAGTACATGGCACCTTTTCAGGTAGAAAGAGACCGGGATAAGTGATACCACCGGTGTCCAAAAGGTCATACATCCCAGGGACTCCCGCCCCAGGAGCTCTTGTCGACCATCACGGCTCGCTACGATTGGCTCTTCGACAAGGCCCGGACACTTCGGCCGGACAAGATTCGGCTGAGGCTTTTGGGATAATTGGGAGGGTGTTGGTGCATGTTGGAACTTTTTTTGTTGGCCAAATTTGGCATCCGATCATAACACATCTATTTGCATCTTTGAGTTGGTGAATTCACATCGACCAGTTGAACGGACCGTTCGGTCGGTCTTCGGAAAAAATCACGGAATGATTCAAACGGACCGAGACACAATCTACGATTACGAATGATTCAAGTGGACCGAGACACAGTCTGCGGTGACCAGTGGATTGGCAGGTGAATACGTATGCCAGTCGCTTTGAAGAGTCCCTTGGCAATCGCAACGGCAACCTCTGTCGACACCACGCAGGTTGGCACACGCAGCCATTGGTGTTGGCAAGGTACTATCAACCTGGCACAGGTGGAAAAAAATACGCGGTGGTCGTTTTCGTCCTGGAGAGTCTCAAAGAGACCTGCGGTTTTGGAGGTAAAAACTGAAACAAGATGAAACAAGAGCTTTTCTGGATATTCCGCACAACACAGCAAACGCTGCACATCATGGGACATTCCCCCGTCTGAAAACAACACATGATATTCATGATACTTCGATATTTGTTTTTTCTTACATTTTGTTCATGTTCCTCACAACACACTGTGGGTGTAATAAGGCCTTGCAAGCTTTTCATGCATTCGACGTGCTTAGGTTCGTCGAGATGTATGCTGAGAACTCGGCCTTGACCGACTGCAGTGTCACTTGGCAGCTTTTGGAGGTGATCTGAAGAGAGTCATGTTTCGCCTCGGCCTTTCGGCTTGTGCTCGAAAAACGAGCTCCGTTGGATCCACCCAAAAGAAGTCGATCACGGCAAGCGCTGTCGAATCCGCATGGATCGGCCTTGAAGAGATCCGAGGTCACATTTGCTGATGCTTCTCTGGATGACTTCCGCCACTGGGCTGAGATGACGTTGATGATAGACCAGGGTTCAAAGAACCAAAACGCCTGCCTAGTTGATTGGACAGATTGAGGTTGAGAACATGCAATTAAGAAGCCATTAGGGCTCCTGGCATTACTACTAGGAGCAAAGACGCTACGAACGGGGCTCCTGACCGTACTACTAGTAGCAAGAAGCTAGTACAGTAGTAACTCATAGTAACTCTTTGCGACTTTGGCCTTTTGTTCATGCCTTCTCTCCTGGCTGCCGGTGTTCATGTGGCGATTCTGAATCAGGTGCTGCACTGGCAAAGTACCAGAAGCAGAAAGAGGCACTCGAAGAGATGAACCGTTCACGTGACCAAGCCTGTGCAAGCATCGGCATGCATTCGCCACTGTTCCAAATTGAAGCCTTGGCTATGAAACGATACAGTTGCATACAGTTGCAATACGTACAGTGCTTTTGCGAACGTACAGTACACATCGTGGACCATGATTCCAGGGGTGCCGATGGTGCGAGTACGCTTTAGCAAGTGGACCGCAAATTTGAATACTAGACGAGCCATTAAGGAACATTGACACATTGGAGCAAATCCGTAGTCCCTGTGCTGCAATGGTCATAGGACCCGGCACGGGTAATCCATGGTCATCAGTCATCCGTACATTCGCTGTCTATCCGCCAGGACATCCGCTCCATGGGCAGGACCAAGGCCAGGACACAGTGACGAAGTGCAGGGATGCAGTGAGGTCACGAAACGGCTCAGTTCGGTTTGGAGGAAGGCAAAAGACAATCTGTCGCATGCAAGCGGACGGCTAAAAGGGAACAGCTCACCAAGATTTCTTCATTTCTTCCGATTTGGCATAGTTCATTAGTGTCACTGATTGATGACGTACCAACTCTTGTCAAGTTGTGGAGAGAGCTGCAGAGAACTAGCGTGAACAAAAAACCCGATGTGAGAGGGCATTTTGTGACCAAGAGACAGAAGTGTGACCAACAGGACATCGGGATTTTCCGCTTGGACTGCCAAGAAATGCAGCGAACGCTCCTGTCTGGCTCTTGGGGATGTTCTGGTTTCTCCGGCTTCCGAGAAAAAAAGAGAGAGGGAAAGACGATAGATCAAGAATGGCGAGAAGCTTCGTTGCTTCAAATCCCTGAAATGGCATGTCCCTTTTTCAACCAAAACACTCTCATGCCGTTTTTGCAGCCTTGTTATTTTTGTGGGGGGGTGGTCCGGGAGGTTCACCGTGCGTTTGTTCGCATGGGCCTTTGAAGCCTTTCAGCTCGTCTCAAAACAACACACGCAAGTTACCCAAACCGACCCAACTAAGCCAGATCCGAAGATGCTTTATCATCAATTTTTGGAGTGACCAGACAACACAGAGGCGAAACCATTGAGTTCGGCCCGAGTTCATGCACAGAGACTGGGTGTACCCGGGAGAGACTTGCTTTCTTCTGAGACCGTCGCCGACGGGATGCTTTGACTTGCTGGCACAGTGGTAGACTCAGAGGGGGCTTTGTTGATTCCTGAAGCATGTTGAAAAGTGTTGAAGCTTTCTGAATAAAGGAGTCCACAGATAGAGGCATCACAGATAGAGGCATGACAGCGATGGGCTGGAAGGGACAAGAGGGTAGCCTTACATGCTAGTGATCAGCGTTACTTGGACCAACCGTGACAGAGGTGGCAACATGCACGTTTTGTCAGGCTCATTTGCTGGTGTTGTTCAAGATATTGTTTGGATGCTGCAAAAAAGGTCGACAAACATGAAATTAACTATCCATAAATAACTCATCAAAGTCTCTAGTCTCTAGTCTTTTTCACGAAACACATTCCACGAAACACATTTCAATACATTTCATGTGCACTCGGACTACAGCGACCTCATTTGTGTTTTCGAGGTATATTCCAGAATTGGCCATGTCCCGGAATGCCGAGCTTAGTAGTGAAATCCAGGCCGTGGGCGCTGGTGACTTTGATGTGGTCATTTTCTGGTGACTTTGCATCTGAGTTTTGAGGGAATGTTTCCAAATCTCTTTGATTCGGCTCTTTTTGCAATGTGTGCCTTTGTCTGCTCAGGCAGCTAATGACAGACTCAAAGAGTACCCGAACAATGTGGACGAGTATGTAGAGTTGGACTGCTCAGCTATTTTAGATGCGTCTGGCGCTTCAAAGACATGACATCTGGAAGAGTCTGCAAGTGTAAATTCCAGTCAAGAGCCTGAGACCCACGAGATCCTCCAGTAGATGAACTCTATGTTCATTGATGTTGCTTTTTTGCAGCAACCAATTTTGGATGAAACGGGCCACTGTTGATGCTACCAAAAGCGCAGGCCCCTTCGGGCTTTTGCTGTTTGGTTAAGTATACAGACTTAGATGACGCAAGAGTCGCACTTGACACACAATTCTTTGTTCTCGTGATTTTGCTGCAAAGACCTGTGGCTTCGTCCCTTGCATCAGTCCGCTTGATTCGTCCCTCGTCCCTCGTTCCTCGTTCAGGTTCAACGTCCACTTGGCCAAGATCGACGCCTCCTTGCCTTTGCTGGAAAAGCGCTTCCTCGAGGACGAACACGTGTCGACGGTCGCGGACGGACTTCGCGAAACGAAAAAGAGATAGGGAGGACGGGATGGACGTGAGGGTATCGGAGGGTCCAATGCGGACGGAATGAAGGTATCTTTAGGTATCTTAATAGGTGAATATAGGTGGCTTTTCTCGCATTTGGATTGGTTTTTTCAATGTTTTTTTTCAAGGCGCGAAGAACACACCGAAAACCTCCGTGGGGCTCCCACGGCCGGCGCGCCATGAATTGGCTTACCTGCAGTCTTGCAGGTGCAAGAAATGGCCGAAATCATCCGGGAGTGACTTGGTTCTTTTCAGCGACTGGTGACAGGTTGCTGCGGCCAACAGGTGAACTTGGACACACTGAAGGAAGCTGGGGTAGGAAGACCTAAACTTGAGACGTACTGGAGAGTAAAGACCGGTAAAGATACAAGTGTCGACTTATTGAACGCTTTACCCACGTGAAACAACTTCTCCGCTTGAGCCGATTCGACCCCAGAACGGATCTGCTTCCGTAGGGTGTGAGTGCTTCTGCCACGGTCTTCCGTGCAAAGCCATCATGGCCATCCGGTCCATTCTCAATCCGAAAGACACATGTTTTAAATGTTTTTTCCATCATCGACTGAGACCAGTGTGGACTGAGCCCATCGAAATCGATCACCAAACACAAGCCTTTCGCAGCCAAGACTTGCGTTTTTTCATCCGACTTTCGCAAAAGGTTTGGAATCCGCATCGACAGTGACACGCGCAAGGCGGATTTTCGCGGCTGAGAACGTGGTTTTTTTTCGTGGGTATCTGCTGATTTTGGTCGAGACATATCGAGACTTGTTGTTAACCTGCAGCCCAAGACAACTTCAACATCACCAGATAACGGGTAGAGTAGATACATGACAAATGACAAACCCTTTCTAGGCCTGAGGAGGTGGCCTCTACGATAGCCGCTTTCCTAGGCCGTCGTTCTTCAGGCCTTCAACGACTTGGCCTCCGCGAAGAACCAGCTGATTGCACAGGTGCTCCAGGGTCGACCAAGCGGTTTCATGATTGCGGCAGCTTCCAAAAATCAAAAGAAGGGACCATAACAGGTGGGGTATCCTGGAAGACTGACCATTGGTTTGATCCATCTCTTTTTTTCTGGCAAGAACGGCATGGATCTTCAGGTCTTGTATGTGTTTTAATTGTTTTTCCGTATATGCAGTGTTCACCACCCACTTCTCAATATGGATGGGTCAAAACCTGGAGCCCAAACACCATGTCCATATGCAACCCTAGGGTGAGTTCCTTCCCCATGTTCAATTCAACATCGATACCGCTCGGACCACTCATCTTTTGCTGCGGCGAGACACATGGCGAGCCTACTGGAGGTTACCACTGGCAAAGAGCGAGCAGAGGTTGATGTGGCCCACTTTAGCAAGGCGGGTCTGGAAGATTGCTGGCCATAGGCCTATACATATTGGTTATATCGTCTTAGTTGTAATATCATATATGTATATATATATATAAATAACATTGAATTGTACATATATTATACAGTATTATACATAAAATGGAACACATATTATATACACAAGCTGTACCCTTGTTGAAGAAGGTGCTTACTACTTCTTGGAAGGACTTCAAGAAACAGCTGAAGAGAGTGTATGACTTGAAAAGCGAAGATGGAGGTTCAAAACCCTTGGTCATGATCTTCGATCAATTATATAAACCGAAGAGTTGCATCTCAGTACAGCCAGTTGTTCCAATATTTTCCCGATCCAATATGGGATCCTTTCCCTCGTCCCCCAAAAACGCCTGCATCGGAACAAAGAGGCTCTGGATGTCGAGATCCCGGAGCTTCGCAAGACTGTGGGAGAACAGTTCCTTGGGCGAGCTATCAGCGTGCTGCAAATTTGGATTCGGTGCAAGAAACATCAGAAACTAGACACCACCCCTGGTAGACGAACCCCCTGCAGGAGATGCGTGAGGTCGCGGTAGATTGCGGCCGGGGGTACTCGATCGGGCCCCACCAAAAGCATACAAAAGCCCCCCGAAAAACGTCTCCACAACCACCAACGACCCAAGCTCGTTCTGAAGTCCCTCCGTTGTTCCTTCGTCCGACTTCGTCCCCGAGGCAACAGCGTTTGGAGGCGCCGGATCTGTCGGATACCTCGAAGATGGCCGCGGAGAACCGGAAGGCGAACGGACCGAACGGCGGATCGATGAAGGGGTCATACGGCACGGAGTGGTCATATGGCATGGGGTATTAAAGATTAGTATATAACTTAATTTAATGTATTTGATTACTATTGTTAATTATTTTTGGTATCTTTTCTAACTATCATTATAACTATGATGATCGTTCTTGTTATATAGGCAGCTATTTATTTTTAACTGTTTGTTTATGTTTGCAATGTATGGGGGGATCACAAAGTGGTCAGAGGGGTTATAGGGTCATAGATGGCCATAGGCTCACAGGGTCAATGGAGGGACCAGTTAATTTTGAGTGATGTTTTGTGAAAGGGTTGCCTTTTGACAGTCCAACACTTTGCAATTTGTTGCAAAATGGGTGAAGAACTTGGCCCTTCCTATCGGAGATTTGCAGAGTGAGAGCCTTGGTCTTTCTCAACATGGGAGAACAACCACAGCCAATAAGTTATTCAGGACATGTTCACGAGCAAGTTGCAATCTCTCCTTCCTCGACATGGTTTCTTAGCAAGACAGCTGAACTGCTATTCCAAAGAGCATTAAAGAGCTGTTGATTTGTTCGCTTAATGCAATCCGGACAGCAGTGTACTGTCTTCCAACTTTGTTTGCTCCTCTCACTCTCGGGAAGACTCCCGTTCGACAGCTTGCCGCTAGGAAGTGCTGGCTCTTCTGGAGGAGTTGCAAGAGAGCCAATGCCTTAAAACAGTGCAGTTTTCGAATGCTTTCGGTTCCAGACCTGGCAATTGGTCGACGTGGCACAGAGAGACCCCGCTTCCGGGAGCAACCAACGAATCTAATGAGTGCAACGCCAGCGTGCAACGCCAGCGTGCAGCAAGAAGTTCTGCATCACCACCCCTGCAACAAACATGGAAGTGGAAAATTTCCTGTTTGTAGAGGAAAATTGTCTTATTTTCCCAGGGTCCACTTCCATGATAACGAAAGCCAGCCTTCGTAGAAGGCGCCAGCTGAGTTGTGCTTGGCGAACGAAGTGAGTAGTTAGGGGGTCTGGGGGGGCGGCCCGCAAAAGGTACACGTAAACTCGGCACATGCTGGGGGAGGAGGGTGGACGGATGGAAGGTTTTTTGAGGTTGTGTTGGAGGTGATTTTTGAGGGGTGGTGATGCAGAAATGCAATTTGCATCATTTGCATCATCTGAATGGTAAGGTGTAGTTGGCACCTTGCCAGGTATAGATACCCAGGGTAGCTATAGTGCAGTTACCAGGTATAGTATTTCAAGTGCCCTTTCCATCAACCGCTCGAGAACCTTTACACACGTACAGCAATCCGCAGCTTTGAAGTCTCATTCTCGCACTGAACTTATATATAGGTGTGTAAGAGGTATAGCAACATAGCATTTACTGTATACGGACCCAGGGTAGCTATCTGTTTCCAAGTATCCCACTTCAATTTCCCTACCCTGGATCCGCGCAACTCAGGGTATACCTGGCAACTGATGTGTAGCTGCCCTGGGTACGCGCGCGCGCCTAAATCACGGGCAGCCGGGAGCCAGCAAGGCGCGCGCGCGCGGACCCAGGGATACCTGGTAACAGAATTGTAGCTACCCTGGGTCCGTATAAATGCTATGTTGCTATACCTCTTACACACATATAAGTTCAAAGCTATAAGTTCAAAGCACGAATGAGACTTCAAAGCTGTGGTTTGCTGTGCATGTGTAAAGGTTATCGAGCGGTTGACGGAAAGGGAACTGGAAGTACTTTACCTGGCAACTGAATTGTAGCTACCCTGTGCATCTATACCTGGCAAGGCGCCAGCTGAGTAGGAAGGGGGGTTCGGGGGGGTGGCCTGAGAAAGCACACTGGAAAGTAGGTGGTGTGTACTGGTGCACGGAAGCAAGGTTTGGAGGTGCTTTTTTGTGCTTTTAAGAAATGCAAGTGTCTTCGGTTGGTTGCAGTGCTATACTTGGCAACTGAATTGTAGCTACCCTGGGTATACCTGGCAACTGCCTTGTACCTGCCCTGGGTCCGCGCGCGCGGGCAGCCGGGTGCCAGCAAGGCGCGCGCGCGCGGACCCAGGGTAGGGAAATTGAAGTGGGATACCTGGAAACAGAATTGTAGCTACCCTGGGTCCGCATAAATGCCATGTTGCTATACGTGTAAAGGTTATCGAGCGGTTGACGGAAAGGGGACTTGAAGTACTATACCTGGTAACTGAATTGTAGTTACCCTGGGTATCTATACCTATGCCAGCTGAGTAAGAAGGGGCATTCGGGGGGGGTGGCCTGAGAAAGCACACTCGAAAGTAAAAACGCTGGTTTTCGTTTTGCTTCTTCTCAGGTTGTTGCATGTATATATATATATATAAAATACAAAAAACACATTGGTTTGCAGTTAGCTCAATTCCCAGGAAAAATGGCGATGGAACGGAAAATTGGCAGAGTCCGTGGAAAAGTTTTGTTTAACAAAGGTTTGTGCACATCTGCAGCTCACAAGAACGGCGGTGTCAAACGTCAGCGCGGCACAGCTGCAAGGAAAGGTTTGGGGGTGGTAGCGTGAAGAACCATGGAATCAAACAGAGCAAATTAGACAGCGTGATCAAAAGTTCAGGTTGCAGGTACGTCGAAAGAGC